GGTCAGGCATCAGTCCAGTATCTTCCAAATGCAGGAAAGAATCTGGCCCCCATCAGTAGACCTGAAGTAAGGAAAACTCACTCATCCCATGCCCCTCACCCCTCCCAGGTTGGTTAGGAATCAGAGGTCTACACAAAGAAATTTTGTCATCTTCAATCACCTTAACCTTTTATAGCCTCAATGTGTATAAGTTGTTTAACTAAACCCACTCACCTTGGAACATACCATCCAGTCTTTATTCCTTAGTCAAAAGCTAAGGATGCATCCTGTTTCAATATCCAATTTTTCTAAATTGAAGGACTTACACAAGGTAACTGATAAAGTTTGAATGTTCGTCCCTGCTCAAATATTATGTTGAAATGTAATTCCCAGTGTTGGAGGTGGGGCCTGGTGGGAGGTGTTTGGATCATGGGGTCGGATTCCTCATGAATGGCTTGGGCCATCCCTTTGGTGATAAGTGAGTTCTTGCTATGAATTCACACAAGATCTGGTCATTTAAAAGTGTGCAGCACCTGACCCCCCCCCCCCACTACCCCTCAACACTTTCTCTTGTTCCTGCTTTTGCCATGTGACATGCAAGTTTCCCTGCTTGGCCTTTCGCCATCATTGTAAGCTCCCAGAGGCCTCCGCGGAAGCAGATGCCAGCACTATGCTTTCTGTACAGCCTGTAGAATCTTGAGCCAATTAAGCCTCTTTTCTTTATAATGACTCAGTCTCACGTATTTTTTAAAACAATGCGAGAATGGTCTAATTCAGTAACATTCATGTTTCTCCCTCTTGCTCTTCATGTCACCATTTCGTGCCTACAAAGGTGAAATAGTGCCTGTCACGATTGCCACTTTGTGAATTCATATGTAATGAGACTTATTCAGCTTCAGGTCTTATGCATAGACTTCTTTTTTCATAAGAAGCAATATTTACTTTTGACTATTTTAAGTCATAATCTCATCTGACCAACAGCAAGATGAAAATAACTGGGGCTGTATAAATAAATGAGTTATTTGTGGACGTTCTCATTTTAAAGAAACATTAACTCATAAAGGATTATGCAGAGTGTGGTAATTGTTCTTGATTTTAATTATTAGAATATAGTATTTACAAAACTGATACCTTGTTGGTTTGCATAATTCAGTTGCAAAACAAGTGAGTAGTATTGGTTCCAGCCTAATTCTCCATCTCTGCATTCCTCCTTCTGCCAATCCATGTGTCTCCTTTTACCCCACCTACATTGTCAGCTCCAACCCCAAGTAAGAGGAGTGTTGCTATAACAAATTGCCACAAACAGCACAAATTTATTACCTGACAAATCTGCAGGTCGGAAGTACCAAGGGAGTCCCGATGGGTAAAATCAGGCTGTGCTCCTTTCTGGAGGCACTTAGAAGAGATTCTGTTTTCTTGCATATTCCAGCTTCTAGAGGCTGCCTGCATTTCTCATCTCGTGTCCCACTTCCATCTTCAAAACCAGCAATGGCTAATCAAGTCTTTCTCACATTGCATAATTCTGGTCACTGTTTCCATAGTCTCGTCTCCCTATCTGATTCTAACTCTTCTGCCTTCTTCTTCTCTTTTAAATACATTTACGATTATATTGCACCCACCTGTGTAATTCAGGTAATCTCCTTGTCTTTGGGTCAATTGATTAGCTACCTTAATTCCATCTGCAACCTTTGCCACATTACAACATGTTGACAGGTTCCTGGGGTTAGAATTTGGACATGTTTGCATAAGGCATTATTCTGCCTACCACACAAGAAGTAACCCCAAACTGCAGCAGAAGTTGCCTAAATCTCTTGTTGCCTTCACCTTCCATCACCTCTTAGGAAGCAGGTGTCTACTATTCTAGCTGCTAATCTGACCCTGGCATCATAGCCAGTAATCTACTCAATAATACCTTCCAAAAAAGGACAGGATTCTGAGCCTGTTTTGCAAATACAGGAATATTCAGCCATGCCCAGGTGTTTACACACTGTCTATGTCTGCTCTCATGCTCTCACGCTACAATAGCAGAGTTGAGTGTGAAGCCTGCAAAGTCTAAAATATTTATCATCTGGTCCTTTATAGAAAAGCTAAAACGTTTGTTGGCACCTGCTATGCAGAGCTGCTCCCTTTTGGATTTATTCTTACTCTTAGATTGTAGCCTTTCATTGTCCCTACTGAAAACCAAGAATGTAGACCAGGGCCTCTCCCCATTGGTGGACTCTGAACTTCATTTATCACGCCACCAGCCCTGTTAGTCTGCTACAAGTTGAGATCAATTTCTCAACCTCTAGGATGACAGTTTCAGAATCAGCAAACTGTCTTGAGAAAAAATGTGCCAAATGCAAGGTTAGCTTATTTCCCAGATTTTTTTTTCCTGCAAATCCCTTCTATTTTAGTAGTCCTCCAGTGCCTTCAAACATACATTGTTTTTACTTTGTCTAGCTTTTCTAGTTGTTCTCAGTAATAGGATTGATCCAAGCAATCTGGTCTGCTATTGCCAGAAATAAACTTTTAGTGCTGGTGTTATATTTTTGTTGCCTCCAAGTCCTTGTTATAGTATCCATATATCCATATTCCTTTATATTTTATTCTGCTGTCTTTTGGGTTTATCTTATGATTTCTTCATGGCTTTTATAATTTCCTGGGAACTATGTTTCCTTGCTTTCCTTTTTTTTTTTTTTTTTTTTTTTTTGAGACGGAGTCTCACTTTGTCGCCCAGGCTGGAGCACAGGGGCACGATCTCGGCTCACTGCAACCTCCGCCTCCCAGGTTCAAGCGATTCTCCTGCCTCAGCCTCCTGAGTAGCTGGGATTACAGGCATGTGCCACCATGCCCGGCTAATTTCTCTATTTTTAATAGAGACATGGTTTCACCATGTTGGTTAGGCTGGTCTCGAACTCCTGACCTCGTGATCCATTCACCTTGGCCTCCCAAAGTGTTGGGATTATAGGCGTGAGCCACTGCACCTGGCCTGTTTTCTTGCTTTCTAATGAGGAAGATAGGTCTTAGGAAATATTCTGAATTCTACAGTTATTTTCTCAGGTAAACTTATCTTTATTCAGAATAACACTTTTTCCCTTCTTGTGCACTGATTTACTAGAGCCCTCATGGATTTAGTTTTGTCTCTGTCTTTTCATCCATCTTCCAACTAAGCAAAATTAATTTAGACTTGATAATAATTTGGTTGCTTTTAGTCTCCCTTATCAGATGAATAACAAATCTGATTATTAGTTTTGTCCTCAACTAGAGGAAAAATAGATGCATTATTTCCATTCCAAATTTTGTCGTAGTTTCTTCCATCTTCTGGTGTATCGTGCATATTGGCATCCTTGCTCTATTCAAGTGAAATATCCTATTCTCACTGCTCATTCTTTCTGATTCTGAATTGAATGCGTTCTTAACATTTTTTCTCTTTAAGCATTTACTGAAATGAAAGTTCTTACATCTCTCATTTTTGATATTTTTTTCCAGTTTCTTTTAATGAATAAATATGCAAAAGTGAGGTACAGTGTTTCTGCCATCCCATGGAGAAGCGCTGATAACCAGAGACAACTGGAAACTTTTCTGATTCAATGGTACAGTTGCTAGTTTTCTGGTTCCAGATATGTACACAATTTCTTAATTTCTCAGATTGAGTCTGTTTCAAGGGGTGAAGCCTGGATAGGTTCTTCTCTATTCTGGCACTAAATGCATTTCTAGAAATCTCTCTCACATTCTTGTATTATATTTCCCACAAATCTTTAGTTTAGTTTTTTTTTTTTTTAATGTTGGCTTAAAACGTTCCTTATATAAGTATACTCCTGTTTAGGTAGTGTATTTAGGAACTGTGAATTAAAGGCCAGCATCTACTACCAGTAACAGTTCTGTGGAATTAAATCCTGCAATTATCCAGGGACTGAGTCATTCCCTTCATTCCATAGAGTTAAATGCTTTTCATAAATATTCTACTCAGGTTTTTCAGATTCAAAGGAATGACGTGGTTTGTGATATGAGTCACAAAAATGTAAATTGATATCAATGTAAGTGCTTGGCATAAATAAAACTTAATTATCTTAAAAATTACTGATTTGTGATTTGATATCCAAGAATTTAGTACAGTCAAGGATTTCTTTTTGTTTTACGAGGAGTACTAATGAGTTTCAACTTGCATTTGGATATTTGGGTGTCTAATAGATAAACAATGTTGTACAGTGGGGTCAGAAGAACTGCATCTTAATCCCTTCTCTTGTGCCTATAACTCTGTGACCTGGAGCAAAGCACATATCTCTGAATCTCTTGTCCCTCTTCCATAAAATGAGAATAATGATGATACAATCTTACCTATTTTCCATGTTGATTGGGAGAATAAATTGATATGTGATGTAGAAGAGCTTTTATAAACTATTAAGCCCTGCTTATACTTATTTTTGAAACTATTTCAGAATGAAAACTGAGAACTACTCTTTGACAAGGTTTAATCTGAAATACTTATACCTCTGCTAATCTCTAATTATTCATTCAGTCCAGAATTGACATAGAACATATTTAGTACTTATTTTCTCTATGATAACGAGAGTATTCCAGGGTAAATAGAGAAGCCTATGAGAAATGAAGCTAGTTTAAACTTTAAAGGTATTTTTCAGAAGGGTAAATCCATCCTTTCTTCCCATGATAACATGTCAGACATCAACTACTAGCACATTTCTCAGTCTCAGGTGCCTTGGGTCCATTCTCTGAATCTTTGAGCAACTTGGGGAAAGTTGAGACAAAACATTAAAACAAAAAACAAAATAACTAAGAGCAAAAACCGTAAGAAATTGATTCAGATGTTTATTTTCAGTTGTTTTCAAAGGAATTTCATGTTAGGCATCACAGTATGTTAGAGATTTATTTTTTACTATCAGAGAATTAGAAATAGGCATTCTTTCCACCAGTGAAAAAGACTCAACCCTGAGAATACAGTTCATGGTTAAAACCAGAGAAGAGCAGATTACAGGGGAAGATTAGCTCGCTAGAATTAACAATTTTTCTGATGCTTTCAGTAGGAAACATCACTATCTCAGGGACAAGACTTGGATAATGTGCATACACAGAAAAGGAGATGGAGGGTATTCCTGTAAAGGCTGCTGTTATAATGATAGTACCAAAACTGAAGAACATGCTAATTGATTTCTTCTAATAACATTGTGAAAATCATGGTGAGTAGATTATTACTTTGAAACATGATTTCATTTATAATATGATTTTAAAAATGTAGTATAACCCCATTCTGTCAAGAAATGTGAGAAATTATCTTTAATTAGTATAAAATTATAAATCTTTACACAGTTTTTACTAGTATTAGTAGTTGTAAATTTACTTAGCTTAAGGGTTGCAGCTATGAAAATTAGCAGTAAAAATTTGTAAGTTCTATGTTTCCTCCTAAATTTCATTATGTACATATAGAATATTCATTTGATCCTGCAAAAAATGATTATTGTTACAAAATCCTTATTGCTATACATTTTTATTGTTAATGTTATTTGTTATTAGATGGCTTTCCTGGACATCAATGAATACATGATAAAGATTTAAAATAATTAGAAAGTAAAGAAGAATATAGCAAAGAGAAAATATTCATAATGTTACTACCCAGAAATAATTATAGTTTAATATTTTAATTTTTTTCTATGTATCCATTCACCTTTATATATACTGTATTTTGAAATTTTTAGTCATAGTTTGTATTTAGTTTTACTTTTACTTAATAATTTGATCATTTTTACTTAAAATTTTGTGAGCATTATCCAAGTAATTAAATATTCTTCAAAAACACTTAATTTGAAAGGAACATATTATCATATAAATATAGTACTTACATAATTCTCTATTGTTGCACATTTTAGTTGTTTTCAAGTTTTTATGGTTATAAATAATGCCATGACTAGCACTCATAAACCTAAATCTTTGTTAGCAGCTTTGATTAATTTATTCTGTTCAGTTCCCCTCAACTATAATTACTCAACCAAAGATATGAACTCTTTTAAAAATCTTACACAAATGACCAACCTATTCTGCAGAAAGGTCATTTTGATATTCATTTCTATAACAGGATGTTAGAGTGCCTTTTAAACTATGTCTGCCACTGCATTTAAATATTTTTTAAAGTATATATTTATTAATTGATAGGTGAAAATGGCATGGTATTTTAATATTTATTCCTGAATTACTAATGAAGATAAGGTTTTTTTAATCTTTTGAAGTGTCTGCTTATGTTTGTTGCCCATTTCATCTATTGTTTGTTACTGTCTTCTTCTTTGTTGGGCTTCACAGATATTGAGGTTTTAAAAATATTTTTATTGTTCCCTAAAAATCTTTTCCCAGTTTGTCAAGGATCTTTTATTTTTGTTTGCTTTAAGCTCATAATGTTATTTTTCCTTTCCAACTTCTATTTTAGGTTCAGGGGGTACATGTGTAGGTTTGTTACAAGGTGTAAACTGCATGTTGCAGGGGTTTGGTATACAGATTATTATCCAGGTAATGAGCATAGTACCTAACAGGTAGTTTTTCAGTCCTCACCCTCCTCCCACCCTTCACCCTTTAGTAGCACTGGTGTCTATTGCTCCCTTCTTTGTGTCTGTATGTACTCAATGTTTAGCTCCAACTAATAAGTGAGAACATGCAGTATTTAGTTTTCTGTTCCTTCATTAGTTCATTTAGGATAACAGCCTCCAGCTGCATCCATGTTGCTGCAGAGGATGTGATTTTATTCTTTCATATGGGTGCATAGTATTCCATGGTGTAAATGTACCACATTTTCTTTATCCAATCTATCATTGACGGGCATTTGAGTTGATTCCATGTCTTTGCTATTGTGAATAATGCTGCAGTGAACATACATGCATGAACCTTTATAACAAAATGATTTCTATTCCTTTGGGTATATACCCAGTAAAGGGATTGCTGGGGCAAATGGTATTTCTACCTCTCTACCTTTGAGGAATCGCCACAACGGCTGAACTATTTACACTCCCACCAATAGAGTAAAAGTGTTTCTTTTTCTCTGCAACCTCACCAGCATCTGTTGTTTTTTGAGTTTTTAATAATTGTCATTCTGACTGACACGAGATGGCAACTCATTGTGGTTTTGATTTGTATTTCTCTAATGATTAGTGATGTTGAGCATTTTTTCATATGCTTCTTGGCCACATGTATGTCTTCTTTTGAGAAGTGTCTGTTCATGTCCTTTGTTTTTATTTTTGGCTTGCTAATTTGTTTAAATTCCTTATAGATTCTGGACATTAGGCCTTTGTCAGATGCACAGTTTGCAAATATTTTCTCCCATTCTGTAGGTTGTCTACTCTGTAGATGATTTCTTAAGCCCATGACTTTTAAACAGTTAAAATTTTCTACGTTTTTGGACTTAATATGTACTTTCCTTTACATCCCTTGTAAGTTGGATTCCTAGGTATTTTATTCTCTTTGAAGCTAGTGTGAATGGAAGTTCATTCATGATTTGGCTCTCTGTTTGTCTGTTACTGGTGTATAAGAATGCTTGTGATTTTTGCACATTAATTTTGTATCCTGAGACTTTGCTGAAGTTGCTTATCAGCTTAAGGAGATTTTGGGCTGAGACAATGGGGTTTTCTAAATATACAATCATGTCATCTGCAAAGAGGGACAATTTGACTTCTTCTTTTCCTAACTGAATACCCTTGATTTCTTTCTCTTGCCTGATTGCCCTAGCCAGAACTTCCAACACTATGTTGAATAGGAGTGGTGAGAGAGGGCATCCCTGTCTTGTGCCAGTTTTCAAAGGGAATTTTTCCAGTTTTTGCCCATTCAGTATGATATTGGCTGTGGGTTTGTCATAAATAGCTCTTATGATTTTGAGATATGTTCTATCAATATCGAATTTATTGAGAGTTTTTAGCATGAAGGGCTGTGAATTTTGTCAAAGGCCTTATCTGCATCTATTGAGATAATCATGTGGTTTTTGTCTTCGGTTCTGTTTATATGCTGGATTATGTTTATTGATTTGTGAATGTTGAACCAGCCTTGCATCCCAGGGATGAAGCCCACTTGATCATGGTGGATAAGCTTTTTGATGTGCTGCTGAATCCGGTTTGCCAGTATTTTATTGAGGATTTTTGCATCGATGTTCATCAGGGATATTAGTCTAAAATTCTCTTTTTTTTGTTGTGTCTCTGCTAGGCTTTGGTATCAGGATGATGTTGGCCTCATAAAATGAGTTAGGGAGGATTCCCTCTTTTTCTATTGATTGGAATAGTTTCAGAAGGAATGGTACCAGCTCCTCCTTGTACCTCCGGTAGAATTCAGCTGTAAATCCATCTGGTCCTGGACTTTTTTTTGGTTGGTAGGCTATTAATTATTGCCTCAATTTCAGAGCCTGCTATTGGTCTATTCAGGGATTCAGCTTCTTCCTGGTATAGTCTTGGGAGAGTGTCCAGGAAATTATCCATTTCTTCTAGATTTTCTAGTTTATTTGCGTAGAGGTGTTTATAGTATTCTCTGATGGTAGTTTGTATTTCTGTGGGGTCGGTGGTGATATCCCCTTTATCATTTTTTATTGCGTCTATTTGATTCTTCTCTGTTTTCTTCTTTATTCATCTTGTTAGTGATCTATCAATTTTGTTGATCTTTCAAAAAACCAACTCCTGGATTCATTGATTTTTTGGAGGGTCTTTTGTGTCTCTATCCACTGCTCAGTGAAATAAAAGAGGACATAAACAAATGGAAGAACATACCATGCTCATGGATAGGAAGAATCAATATCGTGAAAATGGCCATACTGCCCAAGGTAATTTATAGATTCAATGCCATCCCCATCAAGCTACCAATGACTTTCTTCACAGAATTGGAAAAAACTGCTTTAAAGTTCATATGGAACCAAAAAGAGCCCGCATCTCTAAGACAATCCTAAGTCAAAAGAACAAAGCTGGAGGCATCACGCTACCTGACTTCAAACTATACTGCAAGGCTACAGTAACCAAAACAGCATGGTCCTGGTACCAAAACAGAGATATAGACCAATGGAACAGAAAAGAGTCCTCAGAAACAATATCACACATCTACAGCCATCTGATCTTTGATAAACCTGAGAGAAACAAGAAATGGGGAAAGGATTCCCTATTTAATAAATGGTGCTGGGATAATTGGCTAGCCATAAGTAGAAAGCTGAAACTGCATCCTTTCCTTACTCCTTATACAAAAATTAAGTCAAGATGGATTAGAGACTTAAATGTTAGACCTAGTACCATAAAAACCCTACAAGAAAACCTAGGTAATACCATTCAGGACATAGGCATGGGCAAGGACTTCATGTCTAAAACACCAAAAGCAACGGCAACAAAAGCCAAAATTGACAAATGGGATCTAATTAAACTAAAGAGCTTCTGCACAGCAAAAGAAACTACCATCAGAGTGAACAGGCAACCCACAGAATGGGAGAACATTTTTGCAATCTACTCATCTGACAAAGGGCTAATATCCAGAACCTACAAAGAACTGAAACAAATTTACAAGAAAAAAACAAACAACACCATCAAAAAGTGGGCAAAGGATATGAATAGACATTTCTCAAAAGAGGACATTCATACAGCCAACAGACACATGAAAAAATGCTCATCATCACTGGCCATCAGAGAAATGCAAATCAAAACCACAATGAGATACCATCTCACACCAGTTAGAATGGCAATCATTAAAAAGTCAGGAAACAACAGGTGCTGGAGAGGATGTGGAGAAATAGGAACACTTTTACACTGCTGGTGGGATTGTAAACTAGTTTAACCATTATGGAAAACAGTATGGCGATTCCTCAAGGATCTAGAACTAGAAGTACCATATGACCCAGCCATCCCATTACTGGGTATATACCCAAAGGATTATAAATCATGCTGCTATAAAGACACATGAACACGTATGTTTATTGTGGCACTATTCACAATAGCAAAGACTTGGAATCAACCCAAATGTCCATCAGTGACAGACTGGATTAAGAAAATGTGGCACATATACACCATGGAATACTATGCAGCCATAAAAAAGGATGAGTTTGTGTCCTTTGTAGGGACATGGATGCAGCTGGAAACCATCATTCTTAGCAAACTATCACAAGAACAGAAAACCAAACACTGCATGTTCTCACTCATAGGTGGGAACTGAACAATGAGATCACTTGGACTCAGGAAGGGGAACATCACACACCGGGGCCTATCATGGGGAGGGGGGAGGGGGGAGGGATTGCATTGGGAGTTATACCTGATGTAAATGACGAGTTGATGGGTGCAGCACACCAACATGGCACAAGTATACATATGTAACAAACCTGCACGTTATGCACATGTACCCTACAACTTAAAGTATAATAATAATAAATAAATTAAAAAAAAAAGAAAAGAAAAGAAAATGTGGCACATATACACCATGGAATACTATGCAGCCATAAAAAAGGATGAGTTTGTGTCCTTTGTAGGGACATGGATGCAGCTGGAAACCATCATTCTCATCAAACTATCGCAAGAACAGAAAACCAAACACCGCATGTTCTCACTCATAGGTGGGAACTGAACAATGAGATCACCTGGACTCTGGAAGGGGAACATCACACACCAGGGCCTATCACGGGGAGGGGGCAGGAGGGAGGGATTGCATTGGGAGTTATACCTGATGTAAATGACGAGTTGATGGTTGCTGACGAGTTGATGGGTGCAGCACACCAACATAGCACAAGTATACATATGTAACAAACCTGCACGTTATGCACATGTACCCTAGAACTTAAAGTATAATAATTAAAAAAAAATGTACTTTCCTATCTCAATGTCAGTTCATACTCATCTACAGAAATGTCTGGTTGTTTAGAGTGTTATTTTGAAATACTTAATTCTATTTAGTATGAAACAGAAATAAAACGTTTTCAGTATCCTGCACTGAATAACTTGTTCTTTGTCATTTATAATATTTATTATATAATACATTTTTATATATAGTAAGATTTCTTTTAGGTCTAACTCTACTGCTCCTTTGATGAACTAGGCTTTTCTTACTCAAACCCTACACTATTGTAATCTCTGTGATTTTATAATACACTTTACTAATGGTCAGAGAAAGTTCTTCCCCTATTACATATATTTTTTATCTAGATTTTTAAATTTTTTTTTAAGTTATACAAGTGCTTCTACTTGAAATGCTATAAAACTACAAATTAGGGAAGAAATAATACCTTTAAGATATTTTCTTTGTCTTCCCATACTGGAGCTAGTATAATTCTCCACAAATACAAGTATGACTTTAATATCATCAGGTAAATATTTGTAATTTTCTTTATGTAAACTTTTCTTGAAAAAATATTACTAAATATTTTCTGATTTTTGTCACTATTGATAATGGGAAATATCACCCCCATTCATCTCCTAATTGCTTACTTGTAGTATATAAGAAAGTCATTGATTAAAAAAATACTCATCCTATGTCTGATCCCTTTGCTGAATTATATTTCTTAATTCTAATAATTGGCTTATCTTCTTCCTGTATATGTATACATACAGATAATATGTAGACATATTATCTACAAGTAATAATAATTTTGTCTCCTCAAGTATTATACATTTTATATCCATTTATTCTTTTACTGAATTGCTATAAATTCAAGAGCTATGGTAAATGGCCACCATGAAAAAACAGTAATAAGTAGCTTTGCTTTCCTATCCTCCCAATCTTAGCTTAAATGATACCTCTTTAGTGAGAACTTCTTTGGCAAACACTTTACATAGCATCCTACAAACCTCCAATTACTTTTCTTTCATTATCCTGTTAATTTTCTTCATAATACTTCTTACATGAAAATTGTATTTATGCAAATAGAAATTATATAATTTCCTATTCCTTTATATGTTCTACTGTAGCGCTACACTGGAAGTAACATCAGAGCAGGGATAACGTCTGTTTTGCTCCCCTCTGGTATACCCAGCATGTTTCCTATTCCCTGTCATAGAATTGATTAATAAATAGTGTGTCTGTTTCTGATTTAAGTGGAAAGGTCTTTGGTGTTGCATATTTTTAAAAAGTAATTATTGGTTCCAAATAAATATTGATGTCAAGAAATACTTCTATTCCAGCTTTTAGGATTGTTTTATGAAGAATAAATGCTATGTGTTATCACACAGCATTGCATTTTCAGATTGCCCTAAAATGATAACATATTGTCTCAAATCTATTTATTCTCATTAAACCTATCCCAATTATTATATAAACATATTGTCTAATACTAAATCATCCTTGAAATTATCACATGAATCCTACTTGTCTGTGGGTGGACTTTGAATATACTATCGAGTTCAACTTTCTTGCTTTTTTTTTCTTTGAGACGGGGTTTCACTCTCTCACCCAGACTGGGGTGCAATGGCATGATCTCGGCTCACCATGACCTCTGCCTCTTGGGTTCAAGCCATTCTCCTACCTCAGCCTCCCGAGTAGCTGGAACTATAGGTGCGTGCCACTACCACCTGGCTAATTTTTGTGTTTTTAGTAGAGATGGGGTTTCACCAGGTTGGCCGGGCTGGTCTTGAACTCCTGGCCTTAAATGATCCACCTGCCTCAGCCTCCCAAAGTGCTGGGTATTACAGGGGTGAGCCACCACACCCAGCCCTTTCTTCCATTTTATTAAGGATTTTTGCCTTTCTAGTCATAAGGAAAATTAATCTATGTTTTTTTCATTGCTGTCGCAAACTGTCTCATGTTTTCATAGTGTTATTAAAGAATTAATAAATTGGATACTTTTTTATCTATTTCATAAATGAAACAGTTTATATATGATGGGAATTATTTGTGTTTCATAACTTAGAGAAAATTTACCAGCTAAACCGTCTGTAAGTACTTTTAAGAAGTAATTATTGTGTGACTGTTATAATTTCTTCCGTAAATATAGACTATTTTTCAATTTCTATTTTTTTCCTGAAGCAATTAACGTATGGTCTCATTTCTTAATGTAAAATTAGTTTCTGTTCTCTGAAGAATATTCAGTAATATATATAGAAGTAAATGAATATCATCTATAGGCTCACCACCTAAAGTTAATTTCTGTTGATATCATATTTCCTTCTAGGCCTTTTCTTATTCATTTATTTGTAGCTATACACATATTTATATAAGAACTCGATATCATTTTGTACATAGATATAGCTATATATATATAGTGTCATGTTTTCAGTTAACGCTATATCATGTTCGTTTTCTCACATTCGTGAATTTTCTCTGAGAATATGACTTTTTATGAATGTACAGTATCTAGTATTTAAAATAAGTTTCCAATATTTTACTGTAATAATGCTTTCATAAGATTCCTTGATATTTGCATGTATATCTATATCCTTAGCATCAATTCTTAGAAATAAAGTCATTTTATATTGAATACCAAAGTGTCTATGCAAATTTATCTTTTACCAAAGTGTTTGAAAGGGCATATTTCACTGAGCCATTTGAAACTTTATATATATATTTTTTAAACTATACCATTTTGAAAAGCAAACCATGCTTCATTGTTTGTTTGCTATGTCTTTGATTAACTACTGCAAATTTTTCACATATTTATTTGTAATTTGTCTTTCTATCTTATGAAATTTATTCTCCTAATGTGACCAATTTGGTTTATAAATGCTGTATACACACTGGAGATATAAATCTTAACTTGACCTTCAGAAATTGTAAGCAAATTGCTCAACATTAGTCAATAATGAAGTAAAGCAAAGATTATAACCTATTTTATTTTTCTTGCTACTTAAATATTAATAATTTACACTGCAGTCAATTATTAATATTTCCTAGCCATGTGGTCTTCAGCAAAATACTTGACCTTCCTGGACCTTGTTGATTAATTATTATACATATTTTAATATATTTATGTATATTAACATTATACATGAATCATATTTATCAAATTTTTCAAATAAAATGTTGAATTTTGCTTTTTCTCCTCACACCAAAATGAAACAAATCCTGATTCTAAGGATATTTACTGATAATCCAGTGATGTCTGCAGATGGGTTTGAGTAAGTTTTTTGAACTTTATATTATAGGTCTCCGAGAATAGGATACCTTCCTTCTAGCCACATCATCACTGAAGCTGAAGCACTTTTCTTTTTCCTGTTCAGCGTTGAACACTTTGAATATATTATGGCAATGATGATTTGTTTGTGCCATCGTGTGTGTGTGTATGTGTATTTATATGCCAATAAAACGTTTCCATTAACAAAACTCATTGAAAACAAATTCTATGTCTACTTGTGATTTATCTTTCCCGAGACCTCAAATATCTAGAAATATTATTTGCACTTATCCTTGTCATACTTCAATATTTTATTGTCAATGTTGAGTGTAGAAAGAGGTGGAAAAGGAGAGTAAATGATAATTGTGAAGCTGATCACTGAATGAATTAGTAGATGCTAGAAGAAGGCTGTGCAAAAGAAGCTTGAAATAAGAAGTAGTGACATTTGAGTAAATAAGTCAATGGTGAGTCTGTCTCCTTTTTTTCTTTCCTATTCTTTAGCCAAAAAGATTTGACTTGCTGGCAGGTGTAATAGCTACTATGATTCTTGCCCTTCAATCTCAGAGTGGTGTGAAGCAGTGAGAGAACAACTGGAATTGCTGAGTCTTACAGAAGATTTGATCTAGCAAAATTAACAATAAGGAGGTTTATTCTTAAAGTTAGTGTCTCCAGGGATAGATGATCCATAAAATTTCTGCCTCTTTATCAAAAAGGGGCCAACAGGACTTGATGTAGGCCTGGCTATAACCATTCTCATTCTCTTACCAACCCGAAAAAACTAGACCCATTTTCAAACTGTTAAGCTTCAGAGAGTTGCTTTTAATTTTAGCTCCTCCCCAGGTCTCATGAAAATTGTCCCCTCTTCATGGAGATATAAGATTATCTGGGGTTGAAACTTAGCTTTAAATAAGTTGCTGGTCCTTCTCATCTTTGGTCATGATTTGAGAATTAAGGTCCTGACACAACATCTAATTCCCCATCCCAAGTCTATGACAAAGTCTAAAAAGTAATGTTGCTCCCATCTAGGGAAGTTATTTTTCTATTATGAATGCAAATAAATAAAAGAAGCAGGAGAAAGAAAGCACACCCATGAAAGAGAGAATTTTCAATTAGATCCAGTTCCTTTCAAAGACCAACTATACTTTTTTGCCCTTACATTCCATGAGAAAAAAAAAACATGCATTCTTTTAATAAATGCTCTTCAACATAAATTAGCTCTGAAAAGTTTCTGCTAGTTTCAATCAAAACAACTTAGGCTAAAACTAGCCAGAAAAATTGATTCCATATCTACCTACTAGACTCCAGCTATGATTCAAACATTCTCTTTTGCAAACATTAAATCTCTGAACATCCTGTTTGCCCCAAGAACACTTCATGCCCCCAAACTGCTTCTCTAACTTTCTTTCCTAAAACATATAAACAAGCAAAAATTCCTTTATACACAACTTCCTATTATATTTATACAATATTTGAAATTGTGATTGCTTTTAAGAGACAAAATGGTCATATTGAGGTATTACAGGTTAAAGTGTGAATGACCAATAGTTTAAGTCCCCCAGAATTTCTCTAAGAAGTACAACTTTAAATCCTACTTGTTGAATTTTATGCATCAGAAAAGGCTGAAATTGACATTTTGATTCCTCTCCAATTTAAATTAACCCAACAGAATGAAATTATTGTCTTTGGAACCATATTTGAGTTCAACACTAAAAGTAGCTAACTTCCTTTATCTTAATTTCCTTATCCACAAACTAAAGACAAATATATATCTTTCAGATTTGTAAAGACAAATCAGATAATATTTGTAAACTACATAGCAAAGTTTATACTATTCAAGTCACAGCTGTGACTAGTTACATTAATTAATTTATTCAAGAACGTATTAAATTTGCCTTCTAATAGAAGTCTCCCGCTTGGCCTCATATTAAGAACAATCCTCAAGGCATCAGTGAATTTGTTGGCTAAGGTTGGTTGGTCTCACAGCAGAGTGGAAAAATAAAACCCTTAAGTAGAGAATTCCAAATACTTGGCACAAGTGTCACCAATCCTAGCTTCTGTGTCTATGGCAGACATTGTTAATAGATTCCTGCACACTTTCTTATCAACCAGAGACTCAGAGTTTTCAACACAGTAAGTCCAGGCAGCAATTCCCGACCAATTTGAGCTCACATCAAGATTAAGGCATGTTTCTATTAATAGTCTAGGACAAAGGTCAGCAAACACTTTTTGTAAAGGGCTAGAAGGTTGTTTTGTTTTGCGGGTCATATGGTCTCTGTTGCAGCTACTCAACTTGGTCTTCATAGTATGAAAACAGCCACAGACAATATGTAAATACGTGGGAATGCCTGTGTTCCAATAAAACCATGTTTACCAAAATAGGCAATAGATGGCTTGAAACTTGCCAAGCCTAGGTTTAGAGGTTCTCCTAAAGTCAAGGGGAGTCATGATAGTGGCAAATCCTGCTGAAGTCATTTCAGGAGAGTTTGCAAAAGGTGTTTTTAGCAGCCTGGTAAGGGGAGGGATATAAAAATGGTCCTTAGACCTGGGGAGTTCCCTTGCTCAATTTTTTCTGAAATCCTGTTGATTCAACTTTTCTCTCAACTCTCAGGGATTGCAGAAGGCTCTGTGCCCCATTTCTCTTGGCTGATGCAGTGGTGCTGTCCCTGGTATTCACCAGCTGATGTTTCCTACTCAGGCCATTTACTAGGAGTCCAGTTATGTTACATTACAATACTGGTTTTAGCCTTGAGTTTGAGGTTCCTTCATACTTATACTCATAATCCAAAAGATCATTGGAGATTCCCATTCCCTCAGTATTTAAAGTAACCCTATGGTGTTGCTTCCCCTATGGAGTTACAGATTAGCAATACCAGAACTTTCTACTCTTTCTTGGAGAATTCACATATTGAGTCCAGTGTTTTATTTTCTTTTATGGAGAGACATATGGACAGCTGAGAGTACAACCCTAGGGAAGTCATTTTACCTTTCAGAGCCACAATTTCCTCATCCACAAAATAGAGGTGATAATAATACCTTTGTTACCTACCTCAAGAAGTTATATGAGGCTCAATGGATACCTTTCTTTTTAACTAAGGCTCAAAAACATTATCCTTTAAAACCCCTTTCAAACTAGTTTTAAGACTGCCATTAACTCCCACCCACATTACCATAATTACTCACATCCTGTGACAAATATCAGGGTTAATATTGGAGGAAGAAGTCTATATGCAAATCAAAGATGTTTGTCCCCATGAGTGTCTTCCTACCTTCATTCATCAGCCTCTTGAAATAGAGAGTGTGTAAAGGTCTCCAGATGGATCCTGGCTTTCATTTCTTTTTTGGCATCCCAGCATCTGCAATCAAACACACGCAAAGTTATGTAAATCCTACACGACTATGCCAAGGAAGGTGATAATAAAATATCCTAAGACATAATGGACTCAAGTAGTGACTATTGCTGGGAAGCATTAGGTAAGAATCATTTACCATAATAGCTTTGACTTGGGCAGAAGAGCCCTTCAAATTTCAACTGAAGTCCTCTTCAAGAAAAATGAGTAACTAATAGCCTTATTGTAAAATCAAAGCTGTTGCTCTCATTCTAAATTCCCTAAACTTTATGGGAAGTATATATTTGACTTCTTGAACCAATTCAGACATGAAAATATTCCCATAGAACTTTAAAAACATTCATTTCAGAACAATCTACCTTTTCTTCATGTATACATTTATCAAATGATGGTAAATGCCACCTTTTTTGTGTCAAAAGAAATTCATGACAAGAGATTTTTCCAAGGTCACTTAGTTCCTTTGTTTGCCAGTTTCCCCACAGTAGAAACTCTAGTTCTGCCTTTGTAAAGTAAAATTTACAAATATCTGCTTTCCTTCTTTGTGAAGGTATAAAAAGGAACAAATGGAAATATACAAATGAGAGTACTTTGAAGTTGAAAGATCCATGTTTAAAAGTTCTACAAACTTTTAAAATGATCTCCTATAAGTTAAACAGGAACAATAATCCCCTTTTCAGCAGTGTTTTTCTTGAAATTATTTCTGCAAGGAAAAAATCAAATAATTCATATTTTTGTTACCCTCTCTTTTCCTACAAGAGTCTGCTGCCTCTAATTAAACATAGTCTCTGCTGTTCAACAGTTTTACTACCACTCTATTGCCTCCTAAACTGATAAGGTGACCAACTGTGAAAAGCAGGACATACATCATTCTTACAAAGTGCATAATGTTTACTCTTCACAGAGCATGATGGTTATAATTTGCATAGTCCAAAACTGACAGTTTCTGTTCAGCTGCAAGGGTCCAGATGCTGGGTATCTTAGAGTGCACAATAGTCCCAGTAGTAAATTCAGGATCCCACTGTTTTTGTTCAGGAGATTATGAGTGTCCTGCATTGTTGAAGTGGAGGATTTTCCACACAAATTAGTTTAGAGGGGCCAAGTGAAGTGTCGAGGCCCAGGCAGCATCACTGCTGTCGGAGGGTCAATGGGTCTGTCTCTAGAGAGCCCTCACAGACATGATGAGGGCGCTAACAGCACCTTGGCAGGAACCATCACACACTGTTATAGACAGTCTGCAGGTGAGGCTTATGCCCACAGCTTCATGATTCTGGCCATGAAATGTGCCCACCCTAAGAGCCTAGGCATTGTCTCCTACATGAGGACTTTCCACTCATGGAGCCCACTGGCCTCCTCCCTATTCTCCCTCCTCTCTTTCTCTTTACTCTCTAAGCCTGGGCTTCCCAATCCCCACCCTCCCTTTACCCCCAGGTCAGAGTCTTCTGACTGGTCACCTATCTTATTTTCAATTTTTATTATGTAGGGTTTCACCGTTCCTTTAGGGCTTTACTGGTGGACTTCTGAAATGCTGTTTTCCTCTCCTGGGTCTTGCTCTCAAAGCTTGCATCAAAAGCTTTGTCTTTCAAAACGCTTTCTCTGAATTGGGCTGCAAGAGTCCACTTTGGAAGACAAAAGTTAAACAGTTTCTCTTTTATAATAGTCCAACCATTCTCAAAGTATTGAGTGTCTCTGGTTGAAATGGGGAAAGGTGATAGATGGGATACAAGCTAACTGGCATATTCCAGTATATTATCTCCTGACGTCAGCCAGTGCTCTCTTGAGTTTTCTCTAAAGGCAGGTGACCCAAACTGAGGTGATCTTCTGATTTTCATC